GTGTGTGTGTGTGTGTGTGTGTGTGCACGAAATTTCGGCTCATTATCGTACACGTTATTATTCATAATTGTAATCTTCTCAATTATATGATTTGTTTAATCTGTTACTTAATTATTATAATAAGGTCCAGGCTTACATTATTGCTGATGCTCACTTTTTAAAATGTGACTTTAATTTATGCATTGTATTTCATGTTTATAATTTTATATATCGCACATCAATAAATCTTATTATTATTATTATCATCGTACGACAAATCGCTGAATAATAAAGGCTATCCGTTGATAAAAGAACCACGCGATACGTTTGCGGAATTTGTAATTTGATACGTCACTTAAAGGTCTTACATGCACGCGCGAATGATGTGCTGTATCGATGGAAATATAGCGCGCAGCTTAACTGGTCAAGAGACGTCCTCGAGGATGAAGGAATGCGATAGCCCGATGTATTTGCTGATAATACATTATTTCTATTTATGCGTTACGTGTAATATGATCATTTTCCAGCTTAAGTTGATAAGCGCGTTTGGTCGTTTTCGAAGACTTACAACGAACGTCAAATAACATTCTTCCCGATTTACATCACACAATCTGCAAAATAAAAATCGAAAAGAAAAAAATTCTCATGTCCAACCGATCGTGTTGTGTACGAAAAAAAAGTGTATGTAAATGGAGAACTATTCTTAGAATAAACTGATATTTATTTTTTTTATAAATTCAATTGCAAAGTGATTAAAAAGCATAAATCAGCTTATTTATTTTATATTTAAAATTCTTCATAATCTATATAAAAACATATTGCGATGTTGATTACTGTATTATTGGATAGATTTGAAAAATAATACTAAATTTGTGTGTGTGTGTGTGTGTGGGTGTGGGTGCGTGCGTGCGGCGTGTGTGTGTGTGTGTGTGTGTGTGTGTGTGTTGCTTTTCAGTCGCTTTGTGCAATTGAATGTTCACGAAGGAAATAAAAAAAAATTGATTCTTTATTCAGTGTTATACTATATTATTTGAGAAGCTTACGCTTCTTTCCGTGATTATTTTTCCATAAATGTAATTTTTATCGTTACATTGACAGGCCATTATTTTCAGAACAATTCGATGTTATCATATGATACTCCGATTAATGCGATTGCTATATAAAGTGGAGGACAAACGATTTAGAAGTATTGTACACTAACTTTTTAGATTTTTATAAGATATCTTTTTATAAGTTACCGAATCTTTTATCTGCTCTTTTTGTAGTATCGTCTATTATATCTAGTCTGTCCAAGATAGTACTATCTTATTAGCATTAAAAGCTCTCGCACATTGTCGTATACTATATATATATTTCACGATAATATCGTCGGTGTTGATGGCATCATTACAAATTTTGTTTCTCTGTGATCTGTGAGTCATCTCGTCATCTCTCTATAAACCTTAATATATGACACACGCCAGTATATTAAAGATAATATAAACACTATCGTTATTTCTGATGTATACCGCGTTATTTCAGTGCGCGATTTTTGTAAAATTTAACACGACGAATATACTTAACTATATATATACTATATATATATATATATAGATATACACACACTAGACGTATACTAAATATGATGTTTAATTATATTCATTAATAACTCTTTAAAGCATGAGGTACCAAATTTGATGCCTACATCTCTTACACACACACACACACACACAAACTGAGAAAAACATTTTTTTCAATTCTCTGAAATTTCTTTACGATTTCACATCTATATAATAATATTTTGAACTGGTGATTCCAAACCTGAAGTAAAATCAAAATTTATAACAGTTCAATATGATAACTCAAAGTCGGACTTTTTGTTTCGTATAAAATGTATTATAGTAAAAAATTTCTTCTTTCTTTGCTTACATATGAATATAATTTGATATTCGGGAGTTTAGAGTTCACTGATTTCAAATATGAGATAAAAGTAAAAAAATTCAAAAAGTTGCGGATTCAATATGACGAATCAATATTGCAAAAAAATAGACTAATTTGCATGAATGTTGATTCTCATAGATTTTTAAGATTACTAATTTCGAATCTAAAGTCAAAAATAACCAAATTCAAAATCATGGACTGCTGCTTTCATTTCATACAAATTAGTTAAATCTTTATATTTTAAATTCGCCATATTGGATTCAATATTTTTAATTTTTCAATTTTTAAATGCTTAATATTTGAAACATTTTATCATTTTTTTCAACAATTGGTTCATATCCACTAACTGGTTTATCTTAATTGCATTTATCTTAATAATTGCTAATTTCCGCTCTAAATATATTCATCGAGGAATTCGATTCGGACATCAGAAAAAACAAAATCAATAAGAAAAGAAAATTTTTTATTATATTTCTTATTATGTTTTATTATTTTGACATTATAATTTTGTTTATTTTTCAACGTAATTGTAAGCGTAATTTCGTCATTTATGCAGTAATTTCGTTATTTAGCATGTACATATCGCGAGTATAAATAAATATTTTTGTATAAAAATGGACTTAAGTCTTATGTGCATTCGGATTACAATTCACGTAATCCGAATCCCGAATAACATCTCTTCATGCACAGTTTTATGCGCTAATCTATTCTTCTATAAAAATTTGCCAACAGTTTATGTTCGTCTGTGTCGCTCCTATTATTCTTATCGGATAATAGGAAAGATATTTTCGTGCCTTATCAAAATATATGCGCATGCATATAACTTTCGATAAGGTATGACAGTGTTAAGACGAAAAAGTCATCATTTACGTTGCTTACATTTGCGAAATATTTGTTCTAGGCGCTATCGCTGCTTGTTTTCTATTCTCTGCAAGTCGAGAACATATGCTTCTATTCATGTTGTATTTAAACTTGGCAACGGAACAGTTTAATTACAGAACAGTTTGCAAATGAAATTTTTCTCATGAAAATGTCAACAAGTCTTCAACGAGTCTCTTAAAGCTCTCCTCGAAGTCGTTAATTTATATCTAAAGAGAAATAATTTGATAGCCTCTGTTAATTATGTATATATGCAAATTATATTGAAATTATATTTAGATTGCAGAAAGGATTTTTTAGAGTTACGTCTCGAGCACGTCTCGAATTAATTAATTCACTCTTATAGGAATATGGTACATTACTGAAAGTCTTCAACGGTATAAAAGTCATAATTCGACAATGTATCTGTCTATATCTCAAAATATATAACTTTTATATCTCAATTAAATATTTTATTTTTCATTTATTATATAATAACCAATAATTTTCGCAATTTATCATAGATATATCGATACATTGATAGCAAAGTGACACGAATAAAAAAAATAGCATTTTTGAGATGCTGAAAATAATCGACTCTAAAAATAATATCATTTTTTGTAGAAAAACGATTCATTTGTAGCTCATTTGTTTATTACATGGAA